ATTATTATTATTATTATTATTATTATTATTATTATTATTATTATTATTATTATTATTATTATTATTATTATTATTATTATTATTATTATTATTATTATTATTATTATTATTATTATTATTATTATTATTATTATTATTATTATTATTATTATTATTATTATTATTATTATTATTATTATTATTATTATTATTATTATTATTATTATTATTATTATTATTATTATTATTATTATTATTATTATTATTATTATTATTATTATTATTATTATTATTATTATTATTATTATTATTATTATTATTATTATTATTATTATTATTATTATTATTATTATTATTATTATTATTATTATTATTATTATTATTATTATTATTATTATTATTATTATTATTATTATTATTATTATTATTATTATTATTATTATTATTATTATTATTATTATTATTATTATTATTATTATTATTATTATTATTATTATTATTATTATTATTATTATTATTATTATTATTATTATTATTATTATTATTATTATTATTATTATTATTATTATTATTATTATTATTATTATTATTATTATTATTATTATTATTATTATTATTATTATTATTATTATTATTATTATTATTATTATTATTATTATTATTATTATTATTATTATTATTATTATTATTATTATTATTATTATTATTATTATTATTATTATTATTATTATTATTATTATTATTATTATTATTATTATTATTATTATTATTATTATTATTATTATTATTATTATTATTATTATTATTATTATTATTATTATTATTATTATTATTATTATTATTATTATTATTATTATTATTATTATTATTATTATTATTATTATTATTATTATTATTATTATTATTATTATTATTATTATTATTATTATTATTATTATTATTATTATTATTATTATTATTATTATTATTATTATTATTATTATTATTATTATTATTATTATTATTATTATTATTATTATTATTATTATTATTATTATTATTATTATTATTATTATTATTATTATTATTATTATTATTATTATTATTATTATTATTATTATTATTATTATTATTATTATTATTATTATTATTATTATTATTATTATTATTATTATTATTATTATTATTATTATTATTATTATTATTATTATTATTATTATTATTATTATTATTATTATTATTATTATTATTATTATTATTATTATTATTATTATTATTATTATTATTATTATTATTATTATTATTATTATTATTATTATTATTATTATTATTATTATTATTATTATTATTATTATTATTATTATTATTATTATTATTATTATTATTATTATTATTATTATTATTATTATTATTATTATTATTATTATTATTATTATTATTATTATTATTATTATTATTATTATTATTATTATTATTATTATTATTATTATTATTATTATTATTATTATTATTATTATTATTATTATTATTATTATTATTATTATTATTATTATTATTATTATTATTATTATTATTATTATTATTATTATTATTATTATTATTATTATTATTATTATTATTATTATTATTATTATTATTATTATTATTATTATTATTATTATTATTATTATTATTATTATTATTATTATTATTATTATTATTATTATTATTATTATTATTATTATTATTATTATTATTATTATTATTATTATTATTATTATTATTATTATTATTATTATTATTATTATTATTATTATTATTATTATTATTATTATTATTATTATTATTATTATTATTATTATTATTATTATTATTATTATTATTATTATTATTATTATTATTATTATTATTATTATTATTATTATTATTATTATTATTATTATTATTATTATTATTATTATTATTATTATTATTATTATTATTATTATTATTATTATTATTATTATTATTATTATTATTATTATTATTATTATTATTATTATTATTATTATTATTATTATTATTATTATTATTATTATTATTATTATTATTATTATTATTATTATTATTATTATTATTATTATTATTATTATTATTATTATTATTATTATTATTATTATTATTATTATTATTATTATTATTATTATTATTATTATTATTATTATTATTATTATTATTATTATTATTATTATTATTATTATTATTATTATTATTATTATTATTATTATTATTATTATTATTATTATTATTATTATTATTATTATTATTATTATTATTATTATTATTATTATTATTATTATTATTATTATTATTATTATTATTATTATTATTATTATTATTATTATTATTATTATTATTATTATTATTATTATTATTATTATTATTATTATTATTATTATTATTATTATTATTATTATTATTATTATTATTATTATNGCTACGAACATTGTGCTGAAAACTGTTTCTTATAGCAGGGACAAACGATGTCACGCACTACATTATTACATTATTAGTTTCTTTTTTTTTTGGTCAGACGACATTTGAAACCACAAAAAACAACTAGATGAAAGCTACATTCTATATCTAGTTTATGTATTGCAACAATTTCACTGCGACAATCATAATTCCTCACACATTTGTTCACCGCAGTTTGGACTATCATTTCAACAAATCAATATACATATATACATTGTATAGCCCACTAAGTTCCGAAAATGTTAACTGGTAAAAGTCAATACTTACGATATGATCCCTTGACCAAAGGCAAATTTTGACTTTGCGCAAACAATATCACGTTGTTCATCAGATCCAGGGCCAGCAGCAAGAGAGTTTTCTTGGCCATGTGGAATGTTGAGACGTTTTTTGAGGCTTCGATATAGTGAACGTAAGTGTGTCTTGATTGAGTGCGTCAAGCGCAAAATCAGACGTCAGACGGAATCACTTGGTGATCAGCAGGGTTAAACAAAGAGCTTTGTATTAGCCTTAAATACCCCAGTCTTACATACTTCCCGCAACAAACTACGTCATTTCGGACATCAAATCGAGGTCAGGGGCATAAAGAATGTAAGCAAAGTCAACAAACTGGTTGAAAAGTACTTTATTCACACAAATAATTGTTATTTTTTGCTGTGAACGATAAAAAGAAGCTACCGTTGCTGTAACGTTATATTTTTGATTAAATTCTCGCATTAAACTTTGGAAAAACAGATTTCAACCGATTTGCTCATTTTTGTCTCTGGAATCGGTTTAATGCGCGCGTTGCGTACAGTTTTGTACGTAGCTATCAAGGGTTAGATATTATGTGCACTTTTTCAACTAAATTTTTTTTTCGGATTTTGCTATTTACATGTGCTATATTGGTGCTGTTGATATGTGAATTTATTCCGATAGCAGCACAGGGGGCCCAGGCTCAACAGTTGTGTTGCTTTCACGGCGGTGTCAAAGTATTAATTGCGGGGTTCGCGGTTCGAGCCCTCATGAAGCCGTAAATTTTTCTACTTCATTTCTTGAGACTTTTCAAGACTTTCTTTTTCTTTTCTTTTTTCTTTAATAAGTATAAACAGTTTTATGAATAAAGATTGATTTTTAAAGCCATTTTTATATTTTCCCCCCTCGTAAATAAAAAATAAAAAGCGTTTGCTTCCTAAAAAAGGTGGTGATGAAAATAAAAGAAAGCTTTGTGAAATGTGATTAAAGTGAAAAAAAAAGGCAAACAGAAAAAAATAACTGTTAAACATCCAAAATAATTTAACAATTAATCCGTAAAAAAAAGTGATTGATCAAATATACGGTATAAATGCAAATGGTGCATAATAAACTGAGTAATTAAAGCAAACAAATTAAGTTTATCAATTCAGTCATGCTTTCATTTTTACTCTTTTAATATCCAATTACATTTTCTTGAGAAAACTAATTACAGTCAATCAGTAATACGAGGTAACGGGTTTGACTCTCTCTCTTTCGCATACGTAAGGTATTTTGTTAGTCCACACACACGGAATATCAATCCATTTCATTGGAAAAATGCGGGATGATAGAATAGAAGCACAAAATTCTGCATTATTACTATGATTTGGTTCACCGGGCAACCAGTTCAAGTACTGACCAATCGGCCTACCATCAACCCAGTGGAATTTCCCCTGTTTATTGCCTTTCAATTTCTCTGTTGAACAAACAACCGAAATCAAGGTATGAATGAAAGAGTGAAAAAATGAATGAATGGGTAAGAAAATGAATAAATGAACAAACGATTCAATGAACAAGATCATTACCAGCAATCATCCCAATCCATGTGCTACCAGAAGCAGGAAAATATGTGTGGGAGAGCAATGCCACAAAGTTGTTTTCTTGTTTTGAAGAAAGCGTTACAAGGTCGCCTCCTAAGGCCAGACATGCCTTGCGGGCCGTGTACCAGCTGTTGACWAGGTGATCTGAATTTTTATARCAGGATGGAGATCCTKYRTAGGTWGTCCAACCAGTAGGGCATGGCACTAATTAGAAAACGGTAAAAAAAATTATATCATTTTAATTATTTTCTTTTTTGAGTTCTGAAAGAGTGTTCTGTTAGCATTGTCTTTCCGAAGTATGCAATATTATCGCCGTTTTGGAGCGTTCCATAAGTCAGAACTGACTAGCCAACAACCCCAAATATAATTTCATTTAATTATTCCTGTCATAGGAATCGATTTCTAAATTTCACAAATTAGCATAAGGGAAAATTTTGAAAATTACTGCATTATTTACTTCAAATAGACCCGTCCACACTGCTAGTTCTGATATAATGGAAACTGTCCTCTTTGACTAGTATATTACTCTATTTTGAACGCCTCTCGATCTCGAAACTTCCTCAGCAGGCTCCGAAAATACTGCTCATATACTTCGATAGTTCATAATATATATTAATAATTGAATATCAGTTTGAGGAACTCGACCTTCATATATATCCATCAATATATGATTGAGCATGAGTTAAAAAATTGTAGCTCATTGAGTCTCAATGTTAACGGACAAAAGTCAATACTTACGATATGTTACATGGCGGCGTCGAAACGATTTCTTGACCAAAGGTAAAGTTTTACTCTGCGCAAACAACATCACGTTGTTCATCAGAACTAGGGCCAGCAGCAAGAGAGTTTTCCTGGCCATTAGGAATGTTGAGACGTTTTTTAAGACTTCGATAGTGAACGTTATAGTGTGTTTTGTCAAGCAGAAAATCAGTCGTCAGACTTTACTCGCAACAGAGTCAGAATGGTTGACGAGGGCAAACAGAAAACTGGATTTCTTGGAAGATATAGCATTTTACAAGTTAGAACAGGACTACTGTGTCAAATCAATTTATATTTGATCAAATAAGCGTCGTTAATTTTAGAAAGTTAAACACCGAAATGTCAAAACTGTCGAAAGACTAGGAATGATACATAGACTGTGGAAATGGCTGGAAAAAAATTCACGAGTAAAGTGTGAGGAAAAACCGTGTATAATTTGTGTCTTTTTTACCATATTTAAGTCTAACACTTGGCGAAACTCATTATTTTCTTTCAACCGAGAGACGCGTGTATGTCCTCTTATTGATACACTCCTATCACCCACGCAAGTGATATTGAACGTCAAAACACGTAAAGTATTCTTAATCGATAAATATCCAATCATATTATTCCATAATAAATCGATCGCCTGACGTTTAGCTTTTMCGGGAAACACCGTCAGGCGATCGAGAAATCTCAAAGTGCTTGTGTATACAACCTTGTCAAACAGTATTATTTCGGTCTTTATTCCACTTCTCTTGTTCTATTAATTGAAATTACGGTTGTTCCGACGATTTTTTAAAAGCCGATTGTCCTGAACTCTACATGGAAACGTATCGCCAAAGGACATCGTAAAAAAAACATTTATAAAACAAAAACAATGATTTAACTACTAACTTGATATGATTTCTTTTGTCTTTTTTAATGTATTCTTTTTCACTAAAATGCAARTTCTATTTTTCTATGACAGTATTTTTGCAAGTCGGTGTGTAGTGCTAAGGCCTACTGCTACGAAAACGAAATTTCCTGGTAATTTAAAAGTTTGACGAGGTTAGCTAGTTAAATGACGGTRAAATGGTTTGCATAWGAGTCATCCAAAGTTTGAATATCTATTAAGAATGCAAGAAAGATATTAAAATATTTCGCTCAGGTTTAATATGAGATTACGCGCTCGGATCATGAGGTACTTCAAAGGGAAAATCTCGGTGTGATAACTAACCGTATGGCCATTGCACTAGTTGTTTGTTGGTTTTATTTCGCTTTTTTAATAGCTATATATATCAAAATAAACAACTCCAATGTTATCACATTTATCACTTTTTATTGATGCCATTTTAGATGTGAATACATAGTGCTTTGCTACTTCCACTGAGGTGTGATGCTATATCTAGCAAGCTACTTTAGCGCTAGCTCTCTGCTTCTCACACGCATAGCCTATTTTCCTATTCCACAAACATAAAAGATCATTCCATTTCATATTACGTTTGTCAACAAAAATAGAACCACAATCTTCATTTTTGACGAACGCATTGTTAGGTTCGCCTTTTGCCCAGTTCAAGAAATTGCCTTTCAAGGGGGAACCATCGACCCAAAAGAAATTTCGCTTGGTATCTGAAAGAATAAAGCTTATCATTGTATTTACTTTAGTGAAATCATCTACACCCTATAGACTTTTAAAATAGCCTGCTGGTTTTCCCCGCGAACCATTGAAAAACAGGCTTTTAAAAAGACGATTAAAGTTTCGCGCTAAGCGACCCGAATATGTATTCAGTAATCATGTACAGTAGAAACCCACATATAAGAACCTACATTTTGGGAAGTAGCCTAAACAGGTTCCTATATAAATGGTAGTTAACACAATTCTAGGCTACCGTGACTTTCTTTTAAAAAATAAGTTCTTAATTCTACACTGAGTAAAGGAAATAAAACTTATTTTCAAAACAAGATGGTTATTTGCCAATTATTCCTGCTTCCTGACCCTGCCTCCATAGCCACCCTCACCAAAAAACATTCATAAAAAAATCTCATTTTACAGTAATAAGAATATTTTTCTTAAAAAGAGAATCTTGTTCTGCAGCTGTATTATGACTGAAAATATGATTTTAAAAATTAAGAACCTGTTATCAATTTTAGGATAAACAGGATGTTGTTTTTAGGGGGTATAAAATCCATATTTTAGGCTAACAGTTCTTAATTTTCAGGGTCTTATATGCGGGTTTCTACTGTACCTAACAAAAGCAGTGCATGCAATTTCAACGAACGATCAGGGAAATGAAGTAGTCTACTGACCGCAGCAAAACGACCCGTACTCTGTGAAAACTGAGTAGGTCTGCTAGTGGAATATCTAAAAAATACGCAGTCTAGGACTGCATTTGACTCAGTCATAAGAGACTTAATAGGAACATAGAGATCTAGAATACTAGGACATAAGACAGAGTGTAATTTGAAGTCTCATTATCTGGGAAATAGAGATAAATAGAAGGTAAATAGAGAGAGATAAATAGACAGACACTCACTTATGGTCGATGACAGTGACGAGAGGTCTTCCCAAAAGGCCTTCGTCACAACGTCACAACAAACCACGAGAAGACAAAATAATGCCGCCGAAAAGAAAACAAAGCAATTAAGAAAGCAACACTAGGAAACAACAGGAAAATATATCAACATACCTGCAAGGAACCCAATCCATCCAAACGATGTATGTGGAAAGTAAGTGTGAATAAGCATTGATACAAAATTGCTTTCTTTGGTGGAGGAAATCACAGCAAGGTCGCTTCCCATAGATATACATGTCTTTCTCGCTTCGTGCCAACTGTTGGTTGGTTGATGTGGAACTTTGTAACAGGATGGAGATCCTTCATAGGTGATCCAGCCATTAGGGCATGGCACTATGAGAGAAATACCAATAAAAGATTGAAAATACTTTCGTAAGGAGATAGATGAAGAATCGGATATATCAAAGAAAAACAAAGCTTTCTTTATAGAATTGTACGTTCTCATTTTCGCTGTCTCACAACATAGTTAATCGATTAACTATGCTCACAATCAATGTTGGCAAAAGTTGGAAAAGGATAACAAGTCTAAATTGAACAACCGATTTCTCTTTACTATTCATGCATGTTTACGACATAAACCGGAGGTAATTTAGGGATCGAAATTAAAAATATTCTTTTTGAATTTAACAAAAAGCAAGAAAATGTCCTTTTCCGACAGACAAGCAATTTTTCTTGAATCCAGGTGAATGGAATCCCTTGATATTTGCCATCTGAACACCTCAAGGGCCCTTAGGCCTCGTTTCCATTACTTTGTTTTCTATTGTTTCCTATTCACTTCCGGCTTACGTCGTAAGCATCTATCTATTACATGGACCACCGATATTTTGCCTTTTAAAAATAAAGGAATAATGTAAGACCAATTATATAGTAGAGATGTCCATATGAAATAAAAAAAGTAATCACACATGATATGATAGGAGGAACTAGGGAACTATATGATACTTACAGAAGCTAGGCACTGCTTTCCCATGGACAAAACAAACCTCTATCGAGATGAAAGCAATATACAGGACAGTTTTTGACAACATGGTCGCAGTTTAAGTAGTCGGGTGCTTTTAAGTCAAACCGAACGACTAGTGAGTCAAGAAGCTCCGAGAGTCAAGTGAACTATATACGGGTGCAGGATCAGATTAAATAACACCAGACGTTTTGTTCATAATAGTAGGGTAAATAGAAAATCGAAGATTTGGCATTTTTCAGGTCAGAACAGGAATGCCCGAGTCTTAACAACATGTATTATTTGATCAGTAGTATCTTGAAAGTAGCGTATATTTTTAGAAAATTAAACACGGAAGTGTTCAGAAACTGTAGAAAAACTGGGAAATTCATAGAAATTTATTAGAAAAATTAACTTTTTACAAGTTAACTGAGACGAAATCAAAGAGTGGGGGATATCGAGCGCTCCGAGTATCGAAGTTTGAATCATCTGTCTATTACATATATTCCCGTGAATGAAAAGCTCTTTGTTCCCTTCAAGTGAACGTAAAGATCAAGTGTGCGAGATCATGGAGATAACTATTGTTGATTACAACTCGTGGAAGATCGAGGTATTAAGAATTATGGCTAAAGGGAAAGCATTGAAAAAAGGAAAAAATTCATTCAATAACTCAAAGTCCCCTGAAAATGAAAAAATAGCATTCAGACTTCTTGAGTTTGAGTGTTTACTTAAAATAATTAACCAAATATACTTTTAYTTTTCTGCTTTTAATAAATCTTTGTCCATAACAAAATCAATCTTTTCTTTATGACCTCTTGTTTAGCAAGGACAGATTAAGTAGAGTCTGATAAAACGTTATGCCCTTTCTTTTTCACAAATATAAGGTATTTTAACCCATTTACACGGAACATCATTCCATGTTTTCCTGCTATCTATATAAATCACAGCGCAATCTTCATTTTTGACGGCGTTGTTGGGCTCGCCCTTGTGCCAGTTCGTGAATTGACCAGCCAGCTTTGTTGCGTCAACCCAGCTGAATATCCGTTTTGTGTCTATAGTGTGCAATCAAACAGAATGATTAAGAGCAACAATCGAAATCTATACAACCTAGGAAGGGGATGGGGGAGAGGGAGATAGAGGGTATATGTTTCAACATTACAGTTATGTAAAAAGATAAATTTAACACCGTAAAAAAGTATGTGAAATAACTTTTTTCACTTTTACTCCGACGAAGGATTAATGTCCGAAACGTCAGAAAGTTAATTATTTCACATTTTTTTTTACGGTGTTAAATTTATCTTTTTACATAACTGTTTCTTTAGAAACACCGACGCAGCTCACACTAGTTTACCGCTAGTTCCCACCATGTTTCAACATTACATGAAGTGTGCATGTCGCATTTAAGATCACTTAGCATCAGGTTTAAAATTGCTAATAAAGGAAACAAGTGTATTATGTCGTGAAAATAAGAATAAAAAGGCGCTTACTAGCTTTTGGTCTGATTTTTTTGATTTGCAGCATGATATTTTTGGATGAGAATTCATTATTTAACAAATAGATCTCATTTTTCCGTGCGTGTGTACTCTAATAGATACACAGATGACGTCAAAATGTAGTGAGAACAAAAAAGTACGCACGAGACGCAGTCGAGTGCGTGACTGTTGTACTCACTACATTTTGACGTCATCTGTGTATCTATTAGAGTACACACGCACGGAAAAATGAGATCTAT